CTTTGGGTACTAAATTGAGGTTGAGTTCAGCTTACCATCCTCAGACTGATGGACAGACGGAGAGGACGATTCAATCGTTAGAAGATTTATTGCGTGCTTGTGTTTTAGAGAAGGGTGGAGCTTGGGATAGCTATTTGCCATTGATTGAATTTACTTATAACAATAGTTACCATTCGAGTATTGGTATGGCTCCGTTTGAGGCATTGTATGATAGACGGTGTAGAATGCCTTTGTGTTGGTATGAATCTGGAGAGAGTTCAATAATTGGGCCAGAGATTGTTCAGCAGACTACTGAAAAGATCAAATTGATTCAAGAGAAGATGAGAGCTTCTCAGAGTCGTCAGAAAAGTTATCATGATAAGAGGAGGAGGAATTTGGAATTCAGTGCTGGAGATCATGTGTTTATGAGAGTTACTCCGATGACGGGTATTGGTCGAGCGTTGAAATCTAAGAAGTTGACTCCGCGTTTTATTGGTCCGTTTCAGATTACGGAAAGAGTTGGAGAAGTTGCTTATCGTATTGCTTTACCTCCGAGACTTGCGAATTGCACGATGTTTTTCATGTTTCTCAGTTGAGGAGATACATTCCAGACCCATCTCATGTAATCCAAATAGATGATGTACAGGTGAGAGATAACCTGACAGTAGAAACATTGCCTATGAGGATAGAAGATCGGGAAGTGAAACAGTTAAGAGGTAAAGAGATAGCATTAGTGAAGGTTGCTTGGGGAGGTCCAGCAGATGGAAATATCACTTGGGAGCTAGAGAGCCAGATGAAAGAGGCTTATCCGGAGCTGTTCGTCTAAGGTATGTTTTCGAGGACGAAAACTCTTTTAGTGGGGGAGAGTTGTAACACCCCAGTTTCAATTATTTGATTTATTTAATTGGGAAATTATTTTATTAGAATTAATAAAATAAAAAGAATTATTTAATTTGGAATATTTGAAGAAAATAAAAGAAATAAGAAAATATTGGGTTTTTAAGTTATTGGGCTTGGATGTTGTTAGTAAAGAGTTGGGGGTGCAAAAGAAATAAGGATATGTTTTGGAACTCAAGTTATTTTTCTCATTATTCACGATAACATAGAATTTGGGATATTTGGGAAGCTGAGCTCTGAAGGTACGAAGGACGAAGAACATCGCTCGAAGAACTCAAGCTGCAATTTGATAAGGTAAGGGGGGCTACTACTCGATTTACTTTTGCTTATGGGTTTAGGTACGGTTGATTTGGATAATCGTAGGGAGAAACCCCAATTGTTAGATGTTCTTAGGGATCAATACCCTTAGGATTGAACCTTGTTAGAAAAGGTTTAGGTTCCCAATTTTATGAAATCAATTAACGATTTTAGGTTCCAAATGGTGGATTTGGAGTATATCTGTATGATCGTGAATTTACCTTAGGTGTTCTAGGGATGACCTTGATGTTATCAGATTTCCCCAAGAGGACGAATAATCACTTTTAAGGTTACTATGATGATTGTTGGTAATTAGGAAATTGATGTGTTGTTTTGAGTTATACAAAATCGATGTCGTTAGGTACCGAAATGCGCGTTTTGGCTGGTATTTTTCGCGTTTGGCTGCTGTTCTGAGCTGCTGCAGGTTCAGGAAAAATCTGACCCGCGCTCATCAACACGGGCCGTGTTGTTTCACACGGGCACCCGTGTTGATTCACTGTGTTGCCAAAAAAATGTGTTTTCTGGGCACATTTCAACACGGGCCGTGTTGATTAACACGGGCACCCGTGTTGATCCCCTGTATTGGTAAAATAACGTGTTTTCTGGGCACATTTCCACACGGGCAGTGTTGATTTACACGGGCACCCGTGTTAAACCTCCTGTGTTGGTTTTTAAACTCTGTTTTCTGTGCATGCTGTTATGTACGGATTGATCCTGTTTTGATGTGCAGTGTTTGACATGTTTTGAATATGTGTTTATTGATTTCCTAGTGTTGATTGATGCTTGTATCGAATAACGATTGTATGTTATGATACCAACACTATATGGATTTTATTGTCATGCTTTTAGATGATGTAACAAGCATGAATTATGATATAACTTGATATGATTGATGTTTAATAGTATGCTGAGTGATTACATGCTATCCATATCCTGTTATGATTGATGTTGTTGATGTTGCATGATATGTTGATTGATGTTAATAGTATGCTGAGTGTTACATACTTTACATATCATGTTGCATTTGTTAATTCCCATTGTGTGGAATTAACATGGTGGCCAATATACGTGTCCGCAATTTAATGGAACATTGAGGTGGTAGCCGTGTCCGCGATATAATGGAACGGTGAGTTATCCGTGACCCGAGATTTAATGGGGCGGTAAAATGGTACCACATGCATGGGTGTGTTGCATTACATTGAATATAACATGAATGGATGATTTCCAATGTTGTATTTAATTGATTGTAGGCATGTATTGCTGCTAAATTGTTAACGATGTTTGATATTAATTATAAATATGAAAAGTAAAATGTTATGAATATATGAATCGTGAAGGTTTTCGTAAACTATGGAACGTGTTAACTGTTTGGGTGATGCTTATGATTTTTCTAAATTGATTGTTATGAACGTATAATCAAATGTAAAATTGAGATGCTCACCCTTACTGTTGAATATTTCAGATTGAGGAGCTTCGTTCAGGTGCTTAGCGAAGGCTTGTTGTTTCTGGTTATTTCCGTTTAAGTATTGTCCGGGTCATGCTCTGATAATTGTAACTCCGGGAACGTTTGTTTGTCGAACTGTTTTAGTCAGACTCGTTTATTTCCTTACGTTGTTATAATATGATGTTGATATTTTCCAGGTGTTAATCCCTGATGATTTTGAAAATATTATAACATTGGTTTTGTTAATTAAATTATTCCGCTGTGTAAACATGTATGAGTTGCTTCTAGGTTATGCATGACAGGAATTTGTTTTTATTAAAAGAGAATTGTGACATCCTCGTTGATACATGTACTCTGAAATTATAATTTTAATTATTCGCGAAAATTTATTCGGGGTTTTAGAGGGTGTTACAAGTTGCACAAAATGCTTTATGGCCTCAAGCAGGCACCTAGGGCATGGAACAAGAAGATAGACTCATACTTAGTCGATGCTACTTTGTTCAAATAAATTATAGAATCTCTGAGATATGTGTACAGCAGTCGACCTGATATAGTATTGAAGTCGGATTAGTAAGCAGATACATGAGTGAACCAAGGGTGTCACACATGAAGGCTGCAAAAATAATCCTGATATACTTAAAAGGATCGATAAACTATGGAATTCTATTTCGACGAAACTCTGAAAGCAAAGAAGATTTGATAAATTATTATTCAAGTGTTAATTCGTGTGGAAATAAAGAAGATCAAAGAATCACAACTGATTATTTCTTTCAAGTCTTTGGTGTCCCAATCTCATGGTGTTCGAGAAAACAATTTATGGTGGCATTGTCTACTATGAGACTGAAAATATAGCAGGATCATATGTTGCGTGTCAAGCAAGTTGGATCAGATCTGTACTGAAAGAGATTAAAGTCAAAGTTAAAAAACCTCTAGCGTTGCAGATCAACAACAAGTTAGCCATTAATCTTGCAAAGAATCCAGTTCTTCATGGAATGAGTAAGCACTTTGAAGCGAGATTTCACTTCTTAAGAGAGAAAATAAATTGACGTGAACTTAAAGTAAGACATTGCTCAAGTGAAGCACAGTTGGTCAATATTTTCACCAAATGATTGAAAATCAACAGATTTATGAATTTGAAAAATAAATTAGAAAAATTTTAGATTGACTATGATTAGCGTATGTTTGACAACTTGAATTATAGGGATATGTTTTGATATAATCAAAATTTAGTAATACAAAACCAAATTAGCAGAATTAGTGGTTGACATAATTGATTATAGCATAATTGAATTTAGTAGAATTGATTTATATATATATATATATATATATATATATATATATATATATATATATATATATATATATATATATATATATATATATATATATATATATATATATATATATATATATATATATATATATATATATATATATATATAAATAAAGTGAGTTGAACAATAAATTTTTGTCTAGTCCAAAATCAATTTTAAATGTAGAAGCTACAAATTTTAGCTTCAAATAAAATCAATTCTTAAGACATAATCAATTATATTTTTGATAAGTACACACCTTAAAATTATTCAGAATCAATTCTATATTTTTAAAATTAATTTTAAAAATTGAAGAAGTCAATTCAAACATGCTTTAAAAATACCTCACCCAATAACTATAAAATGCAACTAACAATTTAAATTTGAATTACAAGTCACAGTTTGGGTGTTCATTTGGGTCACAGCCACCGCAAGTTTGTTGAAAACTTGACTAATGAAAATTCACAAGCTACAAGCTGTAGCTTTTAAAGCAACGCGCGTACACTTTTTGTCTAAAGACATGTTTGGTACTACTATTTTAGAAACCATTCCCTTTAACCAAACATGTTTTGTGAACCAACTTCAAATAGTAATCGATTTTTTGGTGAGAAGTAGAATAGTCCAACTAGCATGTGAATTAGCACATGTACGGAGAATAAAAGATTCTCGTGAATCAACGGAGGATATTCTCTTTCACATGTGACCCTCCTAGTTGGTTGGTGTAACAGTAGTACTACTTGACTCATATACTTTATGTCATCACGTTTTAATGTTTAGTCTATACTAGTATATGAGAGAGACACTGACATTTACAACAGCTACTACTTTTCATTTCCACCGTCCCTTAAACCAAACAAAACCATATTAAAATTGTGATCCAAGCACCTTCTCCACCATTCATTCACTTTCAATACTATTATTCATATTCATGCATTAACATCCAAATACTCAACCACTTGCTACAATCATTACCTTATATAAACGATCTTGTGTGTTTCTTACTTTCTTTATTTGATTTGTTTTCTTACTGCTACAAATATCTTTTTCTCATCTTGCTTTAATCACAAAACATGTTGCTAAGAAGTTCTTCAACACCAGTTCTTGGTTCTCTTCTTTCATCCAGTTCCTTCACTGATAGTCCTAATCATTATCATGAGCCTTGTCATGCACTCAAGCATCTACCACCACCAACACATCACAATCACAATCACAACAAACTCTCTTTTCATCAATCTGGTTCTTTCAATCTCTCATGCACTTCTTCTCCGATTTCTCCTTCATTTGCAGATCTTGAAAGACAAAGCAAAGGTTTGATTAGAAGAGTCCAATCTGAAGGAAACTTGGAAGATCTAGCTTATGCTAATGAAGAGAGATTCAGTTATATGGATCATTCTTCTATGAGGTATTCAGTAAGACAGAGATGCTTGCCACTTGAGACTATTCCGTCTTTTTCTCTTTCGAAGCGAACCGGTTTGCGCGAAGAAGAGGAAGATGTGGAAGAAAGTGATGTTGAAGATGAGGAAGGCTATGATGATGAGTTTAGTGTGATGAGTAGTATGAAGGTGAGTGCAGAAGCGGATAGAGTTTGTGGAGTGAGTTTTGGTGAGGAGGGAAAGTTTGGTAGTAAAGAAATGTATCTTGCAAAAGGGCTTGGTGTTGAGGTGTGTGGTGATGGAATAGGTGGTGGCTGCAGAGGAGGCAATGGAGGAGGTGGTGATTCTAATTCCATGGGATCTAGAGGGAATGAAGGAGATCATAATAATAATCACGAGGTGGAAGAATATTACAAGAAAATGGTGCAGCGAAATCCTGGGAACTCGTTGTTTCTGAGAAACTATGCTCAGTTTTTGTATCAGGTAACTTCATTTTCCACAAGTTTTTTTCATTTCTCAACATACAAACTTAGTTGTATTGGTGATGATTGGAAAATTATGATTTGACAGAGCAAACAAGACCGTGAAGGGGCAGAGGAGTATTACTCAAGAGCCATATTAGCAGATCCAAATGATGGAGAAGTTTTATCACAGTACGGAAAACTAGTTTGGGAGTTACATCAAGATGAAGAAAGAGCCTCTAGCTATTTTGAAAGAGCAGTACAAGCCTCTCCTGAAGACAGGTATAAATACAAACATTGTTGTACTAATGTAACAAACAACCTTAAATGTTGGAAAATCATTCTAACAATTGTTTGTGTTTTTGTGATGTGATATGTCAGTCATGTACAAGCAGCATATGCAAGTTTTCTTTGGGATACTGAGGAAGACGAGGATGGAGGTTTCAATGACACGAAATGTTTACCTCGTTTTCAAATGGGAGCCATGGCTACTACTGGTGTTTAGAAGAGAAATGATGTACTGATGATTAGATAAAAATGCTGAAAAAATTTCTGATGTATATAAGGAGGGTCTTTGAGATGTATTGAAATTCTAATGTAGAGAACCAGAAATCACAGGCTGAGTTTCTTTTGCACTGTCGGTTCTTTCGGTTTGTAACCATTTAAGTAATCAAGAAACTAATTGATGAAGAGTTATGTTTGAGATTTGTTCTTGCTAGTTGATTTGGCAACAGAGACTAACTTGGGAATGATAAATGAGATTACAAATAAAAAAAGTATAGGATCTTTTCTCTGCACTAGAGGAAAATGTGTGTTGTCAAACTATGTGATTCAATGGTGTTTAAGATCAAAGTAATGGCTGTGAAAAGTATAGGATCAGAGCAGTAACACTATTGTCTATGCCGTGTTGGGCTCCTCTAAAAGTAAAAGTGTGCACTTGAGATGATAAAATACAACACTGAATAACAAAAAAATCAGGAGTTTCAGGTCAATGTTAAGTTCAAGACCAACCAAAGAGATAACAGATAACAATGGAATTATTTGTTGAATAGATGCTACAGCAGAAATCTCGTCGCAACAATTTAGTCAAAATATGAGTTTTTGCTGGGAACTGTATTCATTATTAAAAGAAGAAGAAAATAAGATCTTTGGACAAAAATAAGAAAAAATAGTCCCTAACGTGAACATAGAAATTTATTTAACTTTTATATATAGCAAAAGTGTTGAAAAATAAACAAAATAATACAAACCCCCAAAATGGGAGAGCTCAAAATAGTACATAAATTCTTCAAATGATAATACTGAAATTCAAAATATATTTACACAGTATTATACTATTAATGAACTGAAACTGCAAAAATATGATGATTCTTTATTTTTCCTCTATTCCTCCTCTCCTAAAACTCTTTCCTCTCAGACACTCCAAACTTGTAAACAAGGCCTAAACCCTACACCCTAAAACATATTCGGAGTGAGGACTTAGGAAGGAAGAAGGGGACTTATTTTTCTTTACTTAAATTATGTATCAATTGTTTCTTAAAATGATTGAAATGTTACATGATTTTTATCCCATTATTATTCAATTTTTTTAACTTTCATATAGCGAAGTATAGACTCAACCCAACTCTCAAACACACCCAAAGAAAATTTTTTACCCTAAGTATCAAAACCACTAGGCAAATTAAAACATTGAACCATAAGATTTCCCTTGACACTATCAAAAAAGTCTCAAGGCAACGAAATGATCAGAAACACAAACCCTCACCAATCCCTTTTTTCCCTTATAACACTTTTTCTCATTAAAAATAACATCCATGATCCTGACATGAAGCAATACAAATAACAAAATTTCCCACCTGAATGGCATCATAAAAACCATTCAAAGGGAACTAACTGATCTATACTCGCAAAACAAACTATTAAGTCTCAACAGCTTTTAAAGACACGCAAAATGTAAGAATCCATAGAAGGAAAATGTTGGGGACTAGATACCGAATCAAACTCAGATTTCACTAATTGTATAAACCCCTCGAATTACATATTCAACCACGCTTTCACGACATCTTCCTATCGTGAACCATACTGAACATAACTGTCGCCTCTGGGTCTGGTATAGTCTGAAGTATCCTGATAATATCCCCTTCCTGAGCTCCTACCACCAAAACGCCCTCTTGGAGCATCTGTTGGATAACTGCCTCTACCTCTTCCCCTTCCTCCTGAAATAGACATAGGAAATCAATATCAATATTACAAAAACAAAATCACTACTTCATAAGAACGCTAAAAGACAACAGTCAAACTAACAAAACTAAAAGTATTGAAATCCATATTCAAAGACATCATTTTCAAATAGTTTCGTTGAAGAAAGAAAACCAGTATAAGATGAGGTCAAAGACAAGATACAGTTATTCATAAAAGCAGAAGATTAAAAACAAACAGGCTCATGAATAAACCTCCAGTCTCTTGGCATGTCTACCTTAGCAGCTCCCTTAAATTATTTTAAAATATCTATTAGAATAGAGCAATTTAACAAAAGGCCTTCAATGACAAACCGCACATTCAGATCCAAACCCACAATTCTTTAGAACAATAGTCGCACAAATGTGAAATAATCGTTGTTAGCAACACAAGAGTCTAACTCTATGTTAAATTAGGCAACAAAAACAAACAAGTATGCTACAGCTCCCATGAATTTTTTTTGGCAGTTCTCAACGCTGTCACCCATTCCTTTGGCAGTGTTAAGAAATGTGGTTGGGCCTAACTCAACCCTACAAAACCGGCTTGTAAGGTTGCCCCCACTTATAAAGCCACGTTCAGGCAATATATTGTCCGATGTGGGACTCTTAACACATAATAGCAGCAACAAATTGTCAGAAAAATATGCTCTCCTTTATTTATTACCTCCTACCCTGCATAACCTCATGCAACCAAATCGAACCCAAAAATATGCCCACATAAATTTCAGAACAAAAACGGTTAATGATCAAATTTCAGCTCCCCACAAGGCATCACTATCAAGCAGCACCCTAATTGCAGTAATTATTCCATTTTATCACATGCCCCAGCCCAGCCATATTTCAGTTTCAAACAATATCCCCGGGGTTGGTAAAGCCATTACAACAACTAGTACATTAGCATGTACAGCCATAATTACCAGTCCCCTGTAAAACTAATATGGCATGCACGCACAAATGAGACCCCGGCAAAAACAGCCACAGGTCTAAAATTAAGAGCACTAAAGCTACTGCACGTGAGACCCACATGGTCCCTTAAGCAATGGAAGAAACAACTAGCAATCAACACTTTCAAAGCTTTCTGACTAAAAGGTAAAACTCATAACATTAGAAAGAGTAAGAAATTGAGGCAAAAGAAATGGACATTACTTCCTCCTCGGGCGGCACTGCTAGTGCTTGGTCTACGCTCCTCAATGTATATTGGTCTTCCATCCATATGTATTGGAGAAGCCTACAATAACAGTGCATAAATTTAGACAAATGTGAAGAAAAAAATGTGTAAATGAATAATATGGACAGTGCAGTTATTGCAGCATAGGTATAACAAGACCATTGATAATAGAAAACCACAACAATTTAACCCGATATCTACATGAAAACATCTGATGATGACGATAAATCAAACGAAGAATGGAGAATGTTCTCGCTTTAAGGAATAGAAAAAATGATTATGTACATGTTGCAATTTGACTGATAGCAAGGTCAAGCAAATAAAAACGTAGAACCGCATCCAATATCTTTATTATGTTTTCTGATTATTAAAGGTATGGGAAAATTAGATAATCAAATATATCTTATGTCTAAGAGCAAAAAAATATTTAAATAAAATAACAGCAAACCTGAAGCGCATTTTGAACACCAATAACGTCTTCGAATTCCACAAATGCATAGCAAACTCCGATTTCCTGCAAACACCCATTTCTATTTTAGATTTTGCTTTTTTTCCTTGGTTGAATGTATAGTCATTAGTTTTACGTAATGAGGAGATACCTGCTTCACCCTTACGAATATTCCATCTGGCTTAATTCTTCCGAAATTCTTAAATTCTTGGTCGATCTCAGCTTCGGTAATATCAGCAGGCAGGTTTCTCACATAGACGGATGTTACTTCTTCTGGAACAGTTATAAATTGGGTGTTAACTTGATGACTCAACTATAAATTCTAAGACAATATTGATTTCAAATCTTTAATAATGCAGCTCAGGTAAAACATAATCACACAAATACCATTACCGGAGTCGTAGAATAAAACACCAATTTTACCAAAGAGAATATTCGAGTTTGATATTTAAAATTCCTTTGGGAATAAAAGTTTATGCCTAACAATTTCAGATGTCTCTTCCCAGACAATTCTGCTTAAAAAACATTTCAACAAGTAGGAGTGTAGGACAATAGTGTAAAAAATTAAACAAGCGGCATTTATTTAAGGTAACAAATGCAGCAAGTCAAGAACACGCCTAAAGTGATGGTCAGAAGGAAGAGTGAGTAAAAAATTCCCAATGTGTCATCGACATAAGTACTAAAAATTATACAGATACCATGCCACAAATACTAATAAAAAAATTATATTAGGAAAAATAATCAAACCTTGGTCAAATCTGTAGCCGTCCACTGCTGCATCGGCCCCCGACTCTGAAACATAGGCAGATGCTGGGCTTGACTGCTGATAAGCAGGCTGCACCACAGCCTGCTGAGCAGCAGGCTGTGTCACATGATTAAACTCTGAAGGAGGAGCACTTTGAAAAGAATGCTGTGAGGCATGTTCGGGTGCAGCGGGCAACACTGATTGGCCTTTGGCAACACGTAACTACAAATTCATTCAAACATGATTGCATTAGACACAGATTTTTCAATGATGTCAAACTTTGTTTATGGGCAGTGTAAAGCTATGTAGCACCGACACGTCCAAAGAAGGCGTATATGTGTCTGTGTCGGATACCTACACAGACACTTCTGATTATGTTTAATTTAATCATTTTTTCAAATTATTACCCGTGTCATTGTGTCAGTGTCGGTGTCATGTTCAGGGTGTCTGCGCTTCATAGGTGTATAGAGATATTGTATTGACACTACCAAAACTAAAACAATACAAAAGGTAGTCACTGATTCTTCAATGATGTCAAACTTTGTTTATGGCAGTGTAAAGAGATTCTTCGCTGACACAAACTAAAACAATACAAAAAGACAAGAAGACATATTCATCAATGATGTCAAACTCTGTTTATGGGCAGTGTAAAGAGATTTTTTACTGACACTGCATCAAAACTAAGAAAAAAAAGTTGTTTAATAAACATAAAAAACATAACTGAAAGTTGTACATACAATAGATGCATAAGTCTTCTTAGCAGGCTCCTCAAAAGACTCTTCCACAAGGGCGACAGGGGTTTCACGGATAGTATGAGCAACATTATGCACCGGTTGATATGCCTCCTGTGTAGGAGTTTCCTCCACCACAACTTCCGTCTCGAGGTCTTCTTGTAGCTGCTGCTGCT